GGCGGCGCGGTGGCCGCTGGGTTCGGCTCTCGTCGTCGTAGGAGGAAGGCTCGCACGATCACACCTGAAGTGTTCAAAAAGCTCACCAATGACATTTCTTCTCAGGCTCGGTCATTTGACTTCATTCTGCAGCAAAAATGCGAGTGTTCAAAAAAAATGTTCAAAAAGCTCTTGAATAACATTTCTTCTCAGGCTCGGTCATTTGACTTCATTCTGTGTACTTCTCGTGAACTGCTGCATGCAGGTTTTTCCAAATGAAATCCAGCACTTGAAAGCGGAGAACAGCTGCGTAGGTCACCGTGCATACACAATCCGAGTGATTGAGAAACACAAGTGCGCCTGAGGTGCTCACGGCGTCCCCAACGGCTGTCGTGTACGACGGTTTGCCGCCAGTTCCCTCCTCGCTTTTTTTTTGATGTGGCGCCTTGAAACACTCCAGCGGAAGCCATCAAAGGGCAACTAAATGGACCGCGTCCTTCTTGGCTCTGCGGCTTCAAGGGGAGGCCCTGGCAAAAGAAAGGAGGCGCTATTTTTAAACACCTCCCCCCCCCACCATCACTACCAGCGCAGCCTTTCCACCTCCTCTTCCCCGCCCAGCCCCTTTGACATTTCTTTTGAGCGTGCAGGTAGCTGATAGCGCGCCTGGCCGCCAACCTTGCCGCTTGAGCATAATGCGCTCGATCTGGCCCATTGTGGCTCCTCCAATGGAGAGCACCCACCCCCGCGCCGGAGTAAAAGATGAGACATGATGTCTTTTGCTGAGGAGGCAGAATAAGAATGTGCTCTGGCGCCTCAACATGAAGGTCCTTCAAGGAAAAAGAGGAAAAAAAAAAGTGGTGGTGGTGGTGGAGGTCAGGGCCGAATTTCAAAGACTTGCAAAATGAAATGCCATCAATAGAAATGGTCTATTCTCTTTATTTGAGAGCAGTTCTCTTGGCTGCATTGATTCCGGTAAGATTTTTTTTTTTTTTTTTTTAATCCAATCAGATTTCAGCCAATGAGTTGTCATCTTCAGCTCATCTGCTCAGCATTGCCGGCCGATGCCATCGCACCAACTTGATGAGTCGGTTTTATGCGACGCTTGGGTGCCTCGACTCCCGCTTTCATTCAACATGACAGTTTGGGCTTTTTTTTTTTTTTTTGTCGCCGCACAGCTGATGAAGGTGGTGAACGAAATGTGCCCCAACATCACTCGCATCTACAACATCGGCAAAAGCCACGGCGGCCTCAAACTGTACGCCATCGAGATTTCCGACAACCCGGGGGAGCACGAAGCGGGTGAGTTTGTTTGCACCTGTTTGCCGAGCTGCTCCAAGGGCCACCGAAACAGTCGGTGCGAACACAAAAGCTTCAGGCTTCAGCTAGCGAGCAAAAATGAAGAGAGGAAAAAAAAAAGTCAAGGAAACGCCACTTGGAACTTGCAACTTGAGGTTAAGACCCGAGACTTACTTCCGCCTCTGCCGTCATTTTTTCCTCTCCAGGTGAACCGGAGTTCCGCTACACGGCCGGTTCCCACGGCAACGAGGTGCTGGGTCGCGAGCTGCTCCTCCTGCTGATGCAGTTCATGTGTCTGGAGTACCTGTCGGGCAACCAGAGGGTCCGACACCTGGTGGACGAGACCCGCATCCACCTGCTGCCGTCCGTCAACCCCGATGGGTACGAGAAAGCCTTTGAAGCGGTAGGTCCGCCGCGCTGGCCGGGCCAGGACGCGTGGGCCGGGGCGGCTGCAACCTGTCGCCTGTCATCAAGCAAACGTGATTAATGACTGCAACGCGGCGCCGGCAGGGTGACCCCGCCGCACGCAATCAAGGCAGCAACTTCAAGCTCAAGCTCGGTTAGGGGTGGGCAAAGCGCGGCCCGCTGCGGCCTTTCATCTGGCCCAACCGACATTGACATGATCAAGACCCCTGCATTTGTTTCACTAGTTGAGATGGTGGTGGGGGGAAGGGGCGGCGGGGGTTCTAAAACTGAAAATGCATCCATGTGGTTGGTTATTTTTACACGTGTGTTGAGATAATGGCCGAGACTCCCAAGGTGTGAGTCACGCCAAGCCTTTTGTCGTCGCCCCCATGAAACCGGAGGGTTCCGAGCTGAGCGGCTGGTCTCTGGGCCGGTGGAGCAACGACGGCATCGACATCCACCACAACTTCCCCGACCTCAACTCCATCTTGTGGGAGGCCGAGGCCAAAAAGTGGGTCCCTCGCCGGATGGCCAACCACTACGTGCCCGTTCCGGATTGGTACCGATCCCAAAACGCCTCGGTGAGTCCGGCTTCCACTGGCCCGCTTCCTCCAGCCATTTATTTATGGCGGTTTCGTCGAGTTCGCTCAAGAGCATTTGCGCGCAATGTAAACTTGCAACATTCGGCCAGTTTTCGACGACAGCGGATCCAGCCAACTGAAAAGGTTTTTGCTTCCAAAAATGGGGCCTTTCCTTTCAATGAGCACATTTTCCATCCAATTAACTCCGACTGACATGGATGGAGACATTTTCCTCATTCAACCCATCGATTCAGACCATTCCAATTGCAGACATCTTTGCAACTCATTTCCCAACACTGAACTCCCACATCAAGATCGGTTTGACCGACGGAGTTCTTTCTTCCACGTTGCGCCGCCAATCTAAAACCATCCCCAGTCTCACATTAATTCCGCAGCGCTTCGGTCCAATACCAGCTCTTCAGCTCATACACAAAGTTGAAAATAGATCCATTACTTTATGACTCGACCGAGTCAGCCCCTCCCTCCAGTTTGGCCGATCCCGCAGCAAGGGGCATCCAAGCCCGGAGAGGATTTCCAAGTAGAAGAGGGAAAAAAAAAAAAGACGCAGGTGGGCGTCGAAGCGGCGTCTATTTCGGGGGGGAGCAGCAGCGTCGTCTGAGATTGACAAGCACAAATAGAATCCAGGCGTTGATAAAAAGCTCGTTGGCAGTGACGCGACGTTGTCTGGTGTGAGTCACGCACTTGGGAGGGAGGGGGGGTGCATCAGGATCATCGTGCTCTCATCAGAAGGCTGCTTCATGGGAAAAAAAAAAAAAGTTTCATATGGATCAAAAATGCCAGGAAAGGCCCCACACCACCACCACTTTGCGGTTAAATCCCCCCCTCTAAATGCTTTCCTAAAAGCCCACCTTCACATCCCCCGCCGCAGGTCGCCGTGGAGACGCGGGCTTTAATCGGCTGGATGGAGAAGGTCCCCTTTGTGCTGGGCGGCAACCTCCAGGGGGGCGAGCTGGTGGTGACCTTCCCTTACGACAAGACCCGCTCGCAGGGCGCCACCCGGGAGCAGACGCCCACGCCGGACGACCACGTCTTCCGCTGGCTGTCCTTCGCCTACGCCTCCACCCACCGCCTCATGACGGCCGCCAATCGGCGGGTGTGTCACAGGGAGGACTTCGCCAAGGAGGACGGGACCATCAACGGCGCGTCCTGGCATACGGCGGCAGGCAGTTAGTCACCACAGCCAAATGCGCAAAAGTATTGGGACACGAGCCGCCGAAAGGGACGTCGCCACCCGGCCGTTTATGTCGAGGCAACCCGCACTCGGAATGTGTCCCGATACTTTTGGTCCATGAAAGGATGACACCGTGATGGAGACTGTGTGTGTGTGTGTGTGTGTGCGCGTGCTTTGGCAGGCATGAACGACTTCAGCTATTTACACACCAACTGCTTTGAGCTGTCCATGTACGTGGGCTGTGACAAATTCCCTCACGAGAGCGAGCTGCCGGAGGAGTGGGAGAACAATCGCGAGTCTCTTCTCGTCTTCATGGAACAGGCAAAAAAAACACACACACACACAAAAAACAAAAGACAAACACACCTGTCTGTGAGGCACGTTGGAGGTCATTTGAGGGTTTCTTTTGCGCGTCCGCCTTCACACGTGTGCCTGACTAGGACATGTCCAGCTCGTGAGGACAACGAGCATACATTACATTGGACCAAAGATGACGATCAAGGATATCGAAGAAATGCTCAAGCGGCTTTACGGAAGGCGGATTGAGCATTTGTTCCATGTCAAGGGTATCCATCTTAAGTTTTGTACCAGGAGGCCAAAAGTGGCCCTATTAGTGACATTAGTGACAATAAATAGAGTGCCCCCCCGCTGACGCCGACTTTGAAGCTAGGTGTGCAAAGAGAAAAAGAAAAAAAAACACATACTGGACAACATACAGTGTAAACGAAGCCGAAGAATTGTTAGCTTGTATGAAAGTAGAAAAGGTCGCAAAGGTTTGTGTTTTGTCAAGCCTGGATGTTCACGAGTCCACGCTAGGACGGATCAAAGGCAGCTAAAATGGCAGCTAAAATGGCGCTTCTTGTTGCGTCCACGCCACAGGTGCATCGCGGGATCAAAGGCATGGTGAGGGACCTGCAAGGCAACGGAATAGCCAACGCCACCATCGCCGTGGAAGGCATCAGCCACGACATTCGCACAGGTACGCAAGCGGTGCTCAACTTGTTTTTTTTGTTCATCACACCGTCTTTTTAGGATAACGCCTAGAAATAAAGGCGGCCTTCACTGCCAAAAGCATTGAATGCGCTAAAAAAACATGAGCCGTTTTTATTCTGGAAATCATCGCGTTGAAGGCGACACGCTTGCAAGCAGCCACTTCTTATTTCAGATTTTTTGGGGCATATTGCTACATGGAAAAAAAAAAAAAAAAAGTCAAGTCTGTATTTCATATCTGGAAACTAGACACACTCTGGAGATCAATTTCTGCCTGCAGCATTCACACCAAGATTGAATTTGGTGCACATTCACGTCGGCACAGCTGCCCGCTTTCGCTCCTTCTCTTACGCGCAACGGCAACAAACGTCCCGAGCGCTTTGATCATTTGTGATCGTCGCGCTCCAGCCGCAGACGGGGACTACTGGCGCCTGCTGAACCCGGGCGAGTACCGCGTGACGGCGCGGGCCGAGGGCTACGGCATGGTGAGCAAGAAGTGCGAGGTGGGCTACGAGATGGGGGCCACCCGCTGCGACTTCACGCTGGGCCGCACCAACCTGTCTCGCATCCGGGAGATCATGGAGCGATTCAACAAGCGAGGCGGCGGCAAAGCGCCCGTCAGGCCGCCGCACGCCCGGCGCTCCCGTGACAGACGATCGGGGACTTAATGGCGGCCGGAAAAGTGGGCGACAACTCGCGACGTTTGGAACTTGGAGGAGCCGTTTGTCAGTCCCAGGTGACTTTTACTGTCAAACGGACACATCAAACAAAAGAGAATTCAACATTGTGGAGAGCAAAATCATTTCATTGACCAAAAATCTGCTCACTTATGCTAAGAAGAGCAAACACCATAGACGGGCTAACGAATAGGCGCATGGACGTTGTGTATAGTGAGAAGCCAATGTTAAAGTGTGATATAGCGGGGGAACAACGTAAGGGACGTGCTCGTCACGTTTCCGAAAGCTTTGCTCTTTTCTGTAAATAATAAAAGAGCCAACGGATTGCCTGCCTGATCTCATCTCACGTATGTACATAGAGGGCCCGTTAAGTTATGTAAACCGCGACAGAGGCAATGCAAGCGATACGCGCGTTGCTTCACATGAAATAAAGTCCCGAAACTCCACTTCAGATGCTATTTGGCTTTTCATTCCCTCGCAAACGAGTCCAGTGTAAAGGTTGGCGGCGTTCGCTAAATAGAGAACAAAGCAACTCTTCTAACGTTGGCGCAATGGTCATTTTTTTTTTGTGTTCGTTTTGTTTCTTGTTCATTTGATGGAAAGGAATTGCAGCCACCATCTTACGTGGGACGGCTGGCCAGCGTGATATTTTCCTTTGTTGTAAAAAAAAAAAAAAAAATCAACTCCTTCATGCGATTAAGTCAGAAAAGGAATTGCTTTTTATTGAGGTTTTCTTTCTCACGACATTGACCGTCACCGGCTTTTTGGGCGACTGAAGTTGGACGCACACTCCCGAGACAGCAAATTTGCTGGACTGCCCTTTAACACTCATCTCTGTGAAGACGCGAATCGCCGTTTGTCAACAATAACGAACAGGGCAGGAAGCGGACAAATATCGCTCTGCAACACTGTCGGGCTAGAAATCTCTTCATCGCAAATTCAATTGTCCTTGGGTTCGTCCTTCTTGAGAAGATAAATAAATAAAATAAATAAATAAACAAAGAAATGAATTTTTTAAAACAGCATCGAGTCGTCTCCCTGAGGGCCCAGAACGGATCCAATCAGCCCATCACAAAGCACAATCAGTGGAGGCAGAAAAGAATCAGATTTGGCATTTTTCCATCCACTTGTCGAGGAAGAAAAATCCTTGTCGCTACCTGAAATCATCTGGATTAAGATGCACTCGAGTCCACCAATCAAGGGACCTGCTCGGGAGTGTCCGGTGCTCCGTCGCACTCTTCAGGACGTAAGTGGCTCGAGTAACGTGGCGGAAGATTCAGTATAGCTACCCTGGACTCCACGAGGCTCTTGGGAACTTCATCCGCGGCGGTCCTCCGTCAACCGTGGCGCGCCCTCGGCCGGACGCGATCGGGGGGGTCACTGCGCCCCGGGTAAGGCGGCGCCTCGGCCCTGCGGGCCCGGTCCCGACTCGTTGGAGGAGCGGCGGCGTTTGAGCAGCCGGTCGGCGATGTCGCCGCAGGTCTTGCGGTACTGGTGGCGCAGGAGCGAGTAGACGAAGGGGTCGCAAGCCGCCTTGCTGTACGCCAAGCATTTGGACAGCGCCCCCCAGTGGGGGCTGATGGGCACCGCCGGGAACAACTCCACGATCCTGCGGGCGGCAGACGCAAGACTGATCGCAACCGCGTCCCGCTTGGAAAATAACAACGTGCCGACTTGCCAAATGACGCGCTCGCTCACTGACCGGGACTTATTTACGTGCGTTCTTTCACGCCGCCGAGTGCTGGGGGAACAGACGAGGGGCTCTCCCAAAAGTGTTGTCGCTCACCTTGTGATGACGTAGGGAGCGAAGCAGAGCATGAAGGTGCCGATGAAGGTGCTGATCTTCCTGGTGGCTCGCTGGCGCCGCCGCCTCCGCTCCTCCAGGCAGCGCTGTCGAACGCTGCAAAAAAACAAATTTGCAAAGGGCCAAGCGCTCCATCTCGCTAAGAAATAAATGGTCACGCGCATTCTTTACATGGAATGGAAACTCCTTGGTGGAGGTAACAAAAAACAAAAAAGGGACGGCCATAATGAAATGGCTCAGTTAACTTCCTTGGTGGCTGGAGAGCAAAAAAAGTCAAAAGGACCGTCAACGTAATTTTCATGATGAAAAACTACAAAATATCGATTTTTGGGGGCTTGGGGAGGGTGTCATCACAGCAACTTAGGATGGAACAATGTAGAGCAATGTTCAAATATAAACGAATGACATTTTTGCACAACAAACCAAATGAGTTGTTTGTTCCAAATCAATTTTCTATGATGTCTTTGATCCACTGGTGAAAAGGACACTTTGATTCGCTCCTCTTTTCTCTAGAACTGCTTCAGTCAACAAAGGGTATGCAGAAAAGTGGTTAAGATTGCACGATTGTCTGTGTCTCGTGTGTTGTCTTGTATTATTTTGTCATTTTTTTGTTCACTTTCCTTTTGATGGCGGCGCGGACACCCGCAGCGGCTCCTCTTGTTTTATGTTGAGGGCGAAGAAATTTCATCTGCGCTGTACAGCACATTTGACAATGAAGTTGTATTCACTTCAATTCAATAGTGATTTTTGCTTCCATCTTTAAGTGGGGGGGGGGGGAGAACGGTAGTTTTATTCCTTTGATGTGCAATGCGGGAAAGACGATTTTCACAACAGCAAAACTTGCAAATATTTTGTTGAATTGCCCCACTTAAAATGTAGGTACTGACTTTTATGATGGCAAACAAACAAAAAAAAAGTATCAATGTTATTATTTGCGTGCTCGGGGCTTCTTGGCGAGGTAAAGACTTTGTACCATAGAAGGTCCTCTGCCGTTTGCGCTGCGCCGACTGTCAGCAACGGCTGACGGGACAGAGTTTACCAAGAACCACCACCCAAAAAAAAAAAAAAAAAAGACTCGGGGCGCTATTTGGCGGAGGGCGACGAGCTCGTACCTGGGATGGATGTCCACCAGCAGCACCAGCGTTTGCATGGTGATGACGTCGATCCTCCTGCAGTGGAAGCGGGCCACTTTGAGCACTTTGAGGTAGGCGACGCACAGCACGACGAAGGACAGCAGGAAGGTGAAGGAGTGGAAGAGGACGCTGAAGACCGCGAACTGCGCGCGGCCGCGCGGCGGCGCGCCCAGCGTGCAGGCGGCGTAGAGGCGGTGGTAGCCCAGCCACGAGAGGCCGCCGGCGGCCGCCGAGAAGCCCAGCGAGTGCGCCCAGGTGTAGCCCAGCACCAGGGCGGCGTCGCGGCGGCGCATCTTGGAGTGGTAGCGCAGCGGGAAGACGACGGCGAGCCAGCGGTCGATGCTGAGCGCCGCCATGCTCAGCATGGCGTTGGTGGACAGCAAGGTCTCCAGGAAGCCCGCCGCCCGGCACAGGGCGTCGCCGCCGGGCTGCGCGCGGCTCGCCAGGGCGCCCAGCGTCAGCGGCATGTTGGCCACGGTCAGCAACAGGTTGCACAAGGTCAGGTTGGCGTTCAACAGCCCCGGAGCCTGCTTGCGGATCTCGGGGCTGTACGCGAAGCAGATCAGCACCAGCGCGTTGGACAGCAGCGACACCACGATGACCGCCAGCACCGAGGCGAACACCAACGCCTCGGCGGCATCCATCGTCCTTTGAAACCGCGCCGCGCTGCGCCACGCCACAAAATTAAAACAAAACAAAACAAAAAAAAAAAAGTGGGGGGTGATCGGGGGCGCGAGAAGGGGCGATACTCGGCGGGCGCGGTGCTCCTCAAGCCTGCCGCGGTCGACTCCGCGCACCCGCCACGCTCCCCCGGGTGCATGGAGAAGCCCCCCTGCTCTCCTCGCCGCTACATTGCTTCAAAGACGAGCGAGACAGAGAGAGAGAGAGAGAGAGAGAGAGAGAGAGAGAGAGAGAGAGAGA